AAGTCGTGGTTCTAAAGCCACTTACCTTGCAATTGTTCCTGCAACAACAACAACAACAATAACCACCACTTGTGCTGTTGCTGCTGCTACCAGTACTACTATTACCACTCCCGTCAGTACTCTTGCTACATCCGTAAAAGCTACTTCTGCCAGTAAAACAAAAACGGCTTATACTTGTGTTACTAATACTTCTAATGAGAACAGTGCTGTCACTAGCGCTATACCACTACTGGTGCAACTGCCGTTACTAGCAGCACAACTGTTGCTAATCCCTTCAACTACTGCTATTAATACTTCGACTACTTGTATTACTATTTCCGTCACTACTACTATTACTATATCCATCGCTATTACCACTATGACAAATAATACTGCTGATACTTATGTTACTACTACTACTGTTACCGAAAGTAGAACTGGCACTACCACCATACTTTACTTACTACTGCTACTACTACTGCTACTTCCATCAGTACTACTATTACTACACCCACAACTACTCCTTCCATTACAACTGCTACTAATACCATCATTTATAATGCTACTACTACTATTATTGCTCCGATTGCTTTAACTAACTCAGTCTTCCACATTCTGTTTTGAGTGTCTATTTTCACTGTGTACATGGTAGTGCAGAGGAAAAGTCTTGATACACTGCTGTCTATAACAGGCATAGAGTCTACCTTACTACTGTCATTTTCGCATCCATAAATCTATGTCCTCATCTTTTTCCCTCCGCCACCACACAGTCCTCGATGAAGCTGGCACAGTTGGAAAGGCAGTCGGCGGCATCAATTACTGCTAGTTTCATCATTACTACCTCCATTACTACTACTTTAACCATTTGAAATAATACTACTGATACTTATGTTACCATTACAGCTACCGAAAGCAGTACCAATGCTACCACAATGCTTTAATTACTATTACTACTGCTACTCCCACCAGTAATACTACTACTGCTACTATCGCCGTATTGCAATTACCGTTGCTACTCACACTACTGGTACTGGTACTACTAATACCACCGTCAAATATTCATTACTTCGTCTACCGTTTCCACTAATACTGCTGCACCATTACCATACACCATACTGTAGCCACTACCACTACTACCATTAACACAAGCACCACTACAACTACTACTTTTACTAGTCCCGTCACTATTATTTCTACATGCATCACTACTCTGCTTCTACCGAGAACAGTACTGCCACTAACGCCATACTCTAATAAGTACTACTATTGCTACTCACACCACTACTACTTCTACTATTACATCAATTACTACTACTTTTATCATTTCAAGTAATACTGTTAGATGCTTATGTTACAAGTACTGCCACTTAGGACAGTACTACCACTACCGTCATAGTGTAGCTATTCTACTGCCGTCACCACTTCTACTACTACTGCTA